TTGGAAGGAATACAGCAAGGATAGTGAGACTTCATCTCATGTGCCTGGACATGTTATCAGACCCGACTAGTCTCCGGAGAAGAACACTACATTTAGTACAGCAGTGGATGAACAAAACAGAGGAAGATACTCAATAAGATGGACTGACAAAGTAGCTGAAACAGCAGGCTCAAACATAACACTAATTGTGATGATGGTACAGGACCTGGTGCAGTGTTCCATTCTTTGAGCTTGACCCAATTCTATGTATCTAACTACAATATCAGCTGCAAAAAGAAAAACTCAGCCCTGTATTCTTTTCGTGTATTGTTTTCCACTTCATCTATCTGGTAATTTTATTGCATGTTACAAAAACACTGAACAGATAAAAATTATAGATCGATCAGTCTCTGGGGGTGCAGTGGTTAACACTCTCCTGCTAGCAAAAAGTGGGCTGCTGTGTACAGATTTTCACAGCCTTGGAAACCCTCTAGATAGTGTTACTCTGTCATATATGGTCACTAGGAGTCATACATATATCTTGTTGTTGTTGTTGAGTGCCGTCAAGTCATTTCTGACCCATAGCGACCCTGTATAGGGTTTCCGAGGAGCAGCTGGTGAGCTTGAACCACCATACTTGAAGTGCAAACCGGCTTTGCAGTCTGGCGGATTAACTCACAGCGCCACATATACATACATATATATAAGCCCTCGAGGTGCAATGAGTGAAGAGTTGGGCTGCAAGTCCAGCCACTATGCAGTAGAGATAAGGCTGTCTGGTGGGGTAAAACCCTAGGAAGCATTTCTACTGCGTCCTATAGGGTCACTATGAGTCGGAATCCACTCAATATGAGTGGTTTACATATAATTTTTTTTCTTAATTAAAAGTCAGAAACAACAAACAAGATGGCGGATCAGGTGGACGTATAGCAGAGAGCTCCGCCAACAACAACACAGAATACTTGACCAAGCAGGTTTAAGGGCTGGTCCCAGAACTCTGAACTGCATATAAAGGAATACTTAGAAGGTTGGAAGGCTCACAGCTGGGGGAATCTGTGGCAGAAGCAAGAAATCTATTGCTTTCTAGTCCAGGACGCTCGGCTGCTTCAGGAGCCGCCATCTTGGGTGAGACCACGTGGGGAAAGGATCGGAGCGGCCACAGA